CGGTGTACACTGGAATAACCAGACGCTAAAGATTGTCATTTAATTGAGACTTTGGCGCATTTCGCCGAACATAACTGATTAGAAATTACAGTAAAAACGGAAACGATTGAATGTAACTCAATTTATATACATTCATATTACATTCGTATATATGTTGCGACCCATTTGTGTATATTTCTAGGTCCCAAATATTAGCGATTTAGCTCCTTTAAGCAGCAGTATAAACCTGAAGAAGAAACGGGAGGGCATAATTATTAATTAACGGATACACCTCAGAGAAAAATCTATGCCCGTTTTATTATTGTAACATATAATAATAAAGAGTTTTTAAAGTTAGTTTTGTTTAATTCCAATCATTAATGGCAGCGAATGTTTTTAACGCGAATTAAAACTAAAAGCGCGGCAATTGTGTGACTTTCGACTTTCTCAGCCAGCCAGCATTTATCAGTAATGTGTCTGTTTTGCCAAAAGGCACGAGCTGGGATATATATAAATACATATGTAATGGAATGGTATGGTATGGTATATAAAAAAAGAAAGGGCGCGTTTATAAAATGAGTGATAAATTTGGATAATAAACATTAGTTAGTAGAGTATGTTAGATGAACATGTCTCCGCGAAACGTAAACTTTCTGACGCTAAAAGTAAACGAAAACCAACGCCAGCGAATCGCAGGGGACTTAGACGTAAATAAAGGTTAAAAAATCTGTGGAAACCAAGGAATCTGATCTCTACAGCTTTTTCTAAGATTGAAAACTAATGGTCTTTTTTCCAAACAATCTCAAGCAGAAGATAACACAAGACTTGGCCTTTTTGTAAACTCGCTTGATGTTAGGGTCTAACTTTAGTCTTTCTGTTTTACGAGAAATATGTCGACTATTGTGCAATATATCCCGAATATATCCTTAGTTGTTGTGGAACTTTGTGGCATAGATTCGTTATTTGACGGTAAGGTAACTTTTGAAATTCAGTTGTTGGTCTTATGGGGGTTGGTGGGTAGTGGTTTAACACGTGCGCATTTGATCATAAGTTCTGTCATTGTGTTAAAGGGACAATAACACTCTTGCTGGCTTGACAGCTCCAGAAATCAAGAAAATAGCCCTATTCTAAGTACTAGATGTGTTAGAGTCCTACCTGTTGTGTAAATTATCCATTAAATCCTATTTTACTTGTCCAGAGGGTTCAAAAATATTTTTAAATCCAAGTCACATTTGAAAAGCTTTACGTCAGGCTTTTCAAATCATTTAGTTGAATTTTTCTAATTTTTTAAATTAGGTTTGTTAAGATCAAATTTGTATCATCAATTAATTGGAATATTGTAAAATAGTACAATTTGTTGACCAGAATAAAGATTGGGACATATTATTCAGTTACAACAAGAGTGGTATTGAGCCTTTAAGTGGTGTGGTTTCGATTCCCCGCTTGTACGTGACAAGAAGTAGGGCCGCCTGTCCATCATCTTGGGTATTCTCCAGGTTCTCCTAGCGAATTACTGAAATAAAATTGAACCATATCTTAGTCCCAAAATGTCCTAGTTTGTGCCCTCCGTTCTGCACCACTTACAATGAGAAACCACGCCGGAAAGTCCCGATGAAATTTCTCGACCAACACCGGGTGAGCAAATCCGCGACCTCTAGGCTAGCAAGCAAGGGTTTTTACTTTCTTAAATTACAAATGAACTGAAAAGAAATAGGGTTTAAGGTTCAACTTTTCTAATGAAGATGGGCACACGCCAAGAAATATGCTATAAGAGTCATTTTGCCCGGACTCATGACCAACATGGCGTGGATTAAAACGTATAAAATTTGATATATTTTTTTCTGAAAAATGCCAATGGCGTCCAGAGACTTTAAGGAATGTTAGTTTGGGGTTTTTTTTCTCGGTGAAATGATATCAATAAAATTTTTCAGGGTTCGGTTTGTTATAATATCTGTGTTTATCTTATCTCTTACCGTGAAAGTTTACAAACTCGACATAAACAAAACCAGAATAACTGGAATACTTTACAGGGTTTAATGTCCTACTCTGTTGCATCAACCGGGATAAGGAAAAGAGAGAGAGAGAGAGAGAGAGAGAGAGAGAGAGAGAGAGAGAGAGAAATGGGGTTTAACGTCCACTCGACACAAACTAGGTCATTTCGGGACTAACATATGGTTTAATTTTATTTCAATAATTCGCTTGCTCGTAGGGGTCTTTAGCAGTGGGAGGAAATCGGAGGACCCGGAGAAAACCCACGAGAAGGTTGGACAGGCGACCCTACTCCTTGTCACGTACAACCGGGGATTCGAAACCACGCCAGTTGACTCAAAGAAAGGCTTTATGATACAGCACGCACGTGCTAACCATTCGGCCACCCCCCCCCCCCGCCGGGATAAGGGATAAGGAAGGCGGGTATTATATGCCATACGCAATGTGCTATGAGGGGAATTTTGCCCGTAGAGCGATGTTTCTGCTTACTTTTCGTCGAATTCCAACTGTCAGGGCCTCTTTTACGTGCACGCCAATGAGTTTTTGGTCCCATCCGAACGACTTGGTGCTTTTTGTCCTTTGTCAGATATTTGACTAGGAGTAAGGTCGCCTGTCCATCCTCGTGGGTTTTCTCCGGGTCCTCCGGTTTTCTCCCACTGCTAAAGACCCCTACGCGCAAGTGAATTATTGAAATATAAATTGGACGATATGTTAGTCCCGAAATGGCCTGGTTTGTGTCGAGCGGATGTTAAACCCCATTTCCCTCCTTTGTCAGACCTGCACTACTGCCAAGGGCATCTAGGCTGAGAAATCCAGAGTATTTATCTCAGCCAATGCTAGGATCGAACCCAACACCTCGGGGTTAGATGCTTTTGGATTTTTTAATTTTGACGCTTCTGTAACTTTGTCTCTCCGCTGAATTTGAATTAATAATTTAAAACCAAATTGCTTAAAACTTCGATAGTGCCCATGATTCTGACGTAATGGTACTGGGAGCCCGACTAGAACATTGTTATTTTTTTATCCCAGTTCCAGCTTGGCAGAGGTAGGGAATTGCAGATGGAAAGAAAAACCAAGACCCACACACAAGAAGGCGTGGCAGTTTAAATGTCGTTAAATGTAGTCGTGGCCGCTTCTGCTCTGGCCAAATTCTCGATAAGATAACCCAGTCGGAGCAGAACATTCCTTAATATAAATAACGGTAATCTTGGGTAACCGAACCATTGTTTTGGAGAGGATTTAAATGCCGATCCTTTTCGATCTAACATTTTGAAACTTTACCATGGGACTTGCTTAGATGATGGACCAATGAAGAACACCGTGGCCTATTCATCGAGTTAGCTTGCTTTACCTAATGTTTGTTCTCGCAAAAACGCGAAAATAATGGATGTCATGTCTTCCGTAAAAGAGGACATTTTCTATTAATTTGTTCTACAACCAAAAGAACATGTTCAAAAGCTTAACTTTAAAAGTTGAAAGAAAATGGAGATTTTGGTTTTTTTTACACCATAACATAAAGAACATCAAATGCTGTTTATATATTGAAATAAAACCCACAAACATTCCGTATAAACATAAATAAAGACAATTTGCACCGACTTAAAACAAACAACCAAAAACCATGAAACATTAATTCTCTCTGTTTCATCTGAATTATTTTTTTCGGTATAAAATCTCCTTAAAGATGTAAAAATCCAGGTAATCGCTGTATCACGTGCTCTACTTACTACTGAAAGAGATCAACCAGCTAATCACCAAGAGTATTATAAACATCAAAGACAAACCGCACCAATCAAAAGGCTCTATTTATCTAATTTACATGTACATACCTGTAGAAATGTGTTTTAGAGATATAATAAAGCTTTTTGAGTTTTAAAATTTTTAAAATAATTAGTTTGTGTTGGATATTAATATCTGTTTGATAAACAAGGGGAATTAAAATATCAAAGAGAAACAGCGCTCCAATCATATTCCTTTTAACAAAAACCCTTGGTACCACTGCATCGATTGTTGATTGTCTTTATTTGTTTGAAAACAATTTTTTTGTGGATTTCAATTTTTTTTCACCAAACAAACATCGTTGTGATAAAAGATGGCATCCTTTATGAAATGGTTGGAAAACGAGAATTATTGAATTTTGTTTACAAATGCACATTTCGTTTGTATTTATTTTGTGTATTTTTTGTACTGGTTATTTGTTGTAAAAATGCTAAAAATCTCTTTTATAGCAAATAAATAAGTTAAACTTAAATCACTTGTTTCTTTCCAAACTCAATTCTCCGGAAAAAAAAACACAATTAAGCAAAAACATACAAATTATGATAAAAGTTGTAGTTTTCATCTTTTACGCTGAACTAATGAAGAAAATGGATAAAACTATTTGATATAAGAAAAGACAATCCTGTTTCATTTTATAGACTTTCTTGAATAAATATCTTTCTTGGTCGTTTAACGTCCGTTTTCACAATAGTTATATCACAGACAAATAGAATAAATAACGTCTTCGTGGGTTTTTATGTGGTAGCGAAGGATTGGTTTCTTCTTGGGCGAGAAAGACAGCCAGTCCCCGATTTTCTAGACTTTCCGAACCCTGGGAATATTCACCTGGGCATATAATATCTGTTTAAAATGGACATTGTATTAACATTCAGAAAGAAGAAAATAATTCTTTAGATTAATTATATATCAGGAACCAAATTTCAATAAATATAAAAATATTGATGCTGAACAAACATGTTGAACTATGAAAGTGTATAGGCGCTTTTTGTATATCAATCATGTATGTCATTGTAAGTTTATATCTCTGTATCTCTGTATGTAGTATGTATGTATGTATGTATGTTGTATGTATGTATGTATGTATGTATGTATGTATGTATGTATGTATGTATGTATTAATAGTTTCTTCTTCTTCTTCTTCGTCTGTATAGTTTTAATTAGTTTGACGCATTTACTTTATGTTATATGACTATATTAGTGTTATATGACTATATTAGTGTTATATGACTATATTAGTGTTATTTTGTTTTCAGATTCTGAATATTAGTCTCACGGTACACGAACCCAGATTAAGATCAGGTAAGACAATTTACCGCCATTTGCAAAAAAAAAACAAACAAAGAAAATAATATACAATAAAACGAAACTAGACAAAAATACAATAAAACGAAACTAGACAAAAATACAATACAAAAATACAATAAAACGAAACTAGACAAAAATACAATAAAACGAAACTAGACAAAAATACCACACATGGAAACGAAACAAAAAAAAACAAAAAAAAACGAAACTAGAAAACAACACTAACAAGTGGTAGGGGAAACATCTTGAGGTATAAATAGAAAAATAACGTTATTGGTAACACACCGAATATATTTATAATGGAGAACCAAGATTAATTTGAATCGCAACCCTTTTTACAAAAAAACACAATTGGAGTTGGCTGGTAACCCATCCCTTTATCTTGGATTAGTGAACCCTGATAATTAATTGGGCCCTTTATTAAATATATAATTTACTAATATTTTGATTCCGCAACTTAATCGATGTGGACTTTTTAGTTGGCCGTGGTACCTGGGATGCAACTCCTAAAACCCTATGGGATGGTACGGTGCTGGGGATAGGGTGGTAATTCGTATCATAAACCTATAACGGTAAATGTCTTTGATTTTTGGGGTATATTCTATGCCCGGAATAACTTGCGGTCTGAAAATCGGGGGCGGCTTTGGATATATACAGGGAATTTGGGGTTATTCTTCTGAAAAGTTTTTCTTTAAAACTGTAACGGTTTATTCTTCCAGGGTAGGGGTTTCTTTTCATAAGAAAACATGATATAAGGGTTTCCTACGGAAATTCTGGGATATTCTCGTTTTACGTACATGTACACATAGACGGTTTATAAGCAAGATAAAGTCCTTGACTTCAGTTATGCTGGGAAAAAAAAACTTCAGAAAAAAACCCTCGACAGAAAAACCTCGGGTTATTTTCTTCAGTCTTTCTTTCCCCAGCATAACCCCAATCTCGTGTTTTATCCAAGTATGAAATCGTTGAAAAGAAGAAACTGTTGGACTAAAAGATACGGATTATAAGGTCATCAATCATATTGCACTCATAAAAGATAAATTAAAACCGAGGTACTGGAGAGACGGGAAAAAGACTTGGGGGTTAGACCCCTATTTGGACCCCTATTAAGAGTGATAATAGAAAGCAGCCGCTATATATATGTACGATGGTAATAAATCAAGTATCGGTTAAAGGTTTAATGGTGTGAATGTGGTTATAATATGACTATATAACATCATTTTACAACTAGACCTGTCAAAATATCTCCATCATAAATCATACAACACACGACTTGCTCTTCACCACAATTAAAGGCACACACACACAATTGGTTGGGATATATTTTTATATATAAAAACAATATAGTTATTTCAACAAACAGTCAAGGTCTATGCTTACCCCCACCCCCACCCGACCCCCACCTAACATAATAAAATAATGGCAACTCATATAAGAAGACAATGTATATAACGAATTCTGACAATATTATTAATAGTTGAATTACAACATTATTTTATTTCACGCGGTTTAATTTGTCATTGTAGGCGATAACAGTATATTTACAATATTATTAATGATAAAATAATTGATAATTACAAATTATTATGTTTATTTAAAGCTGTTTGATTTGTCAATAAAAGATTGCACAGATTGCCATGTTATGCGATTAAAGACATGCTATATATCAATGTCCATTTTTAACGCGTTAAAATCCACACTGCGTCTGGGATATATGTTAATATAAATATCTTATAAATTTCTGTATTACCCCTTAATCGACTTATAACATCTTGGCAGATTGAAAGTTCTCGAGATTTCTGTATTACCCCTCAATCGACTTATAACATCTCGGTAGGATGAAAGTTCTCGAGATTTCTGTAATACCCCTCAATCGACTTATAACATCTCCTTAGGATGAAAGTTCCCGGGAATTTCTGTATTACCCTTCAATCGACTTATAATATCTCTATATATAGAATCTTTCTGATTTCTGTATTGCCCTTTAATATAATTATATCTTGGTAGATTGAAAGTTAACCCATGATATTTAGATTAACCTTCAATCGACTTAAATACGGTTCCTGGGATTTCTGTATTACCCTTCAATCGACTTATAATAATATCTTGATATATTAAAAGTTCCTGGGATTTCTGTATTACCCTTCAATAGGGTTATAATATATGAGTATATCTATATTACCATGTAATATACTTATAATAATATCTTGGTATATTGAAGTTTCCTGACATTTCTGTATTACCCTTCAATATACTTATAATAATATCTTAATATCGAAAATTCCCGGGATTTCTGTATTACCCTTCAACAGGGTTTTCCTGGGATTACTGTATTACCCTTGAATAGATTTGTAGGATCTTGGTATATTAAAAGTTCCTTAGGTATACATACCACGTCATAGAGTAATAGCATGGATCTTTATAGACAGTTTATTACATAAACAACCTTACAAGGTTATGTGCATATATAACAACTTGGTTTATATATTATATAGGCCGAAGTTGGAATTTCTGTGTTAATCCGTGTTAATTTACATATTGTCTAAAAGATGCAAATGGCGATCAGAGACTCTAAATTGGACACATTCTTAATATAAAATAAATAAATGTTTAATTTGAATAAATTGAACAAATAACAGAAAGAGAGAAATTGAAAAAGTTTCTTGGCTATATACAACTCCCTTGCAATATTGGTATCGACACAGATGTTGTAGCCTGTCTTTAATGTTGGGAGGAAATCAATTATTTGCCGGTCTTTTCGCGGTTTATAAAACACTCATTAGCCCGTCCATCGTTTGACAGTTCCGTCTGGTTAAACATGACTATGTGTCAATCAACTGCTAGGACCGACAACTCCCTGAAGGATAATTGTTTTGATTGTGTAATAATGTATGGAAAACCGTTTAGCACTAAATACTCTCAAGGGAAGAATACAAGTTTTGATATGTTATGTCTGCTAATTCCATCGGCAATTGGATTTATCATCCCCGCTTTATTTTTGTCTTTAATTTTCTTTTCATACGGCCAACAGATAAAACGACTTTTTGAATTATCTAATAATTTGGTTTTTAAAATGCCAGAAACTTTCGTCATTTTAAGTAGCTGACGGCGGCGGAAGTGGCAATGGTTGGGTCAGTAAGACGTTGGCTCGCTAATCTGGAGGTTCAGGGTTCGATCCCAGTGTTTGCCGCGTGTTAGTCGAGCCAAAAGGGCACTAGAATCTCAAGTCTAATACCCACATCTCAGGGTTAGCGTCAGCTGCCTAGCCCTTCGGATAGGACGAACACCGACGTCCATATCCGTTTACCTAAATCCCTAGTACTAGTGGCTTGTAGGCTGCATCATTTGGTGACCCGTATCCATTTGGCGTGTACGTAAAAGACCCATTGGCAGTTGGAATTCGCTTAATATACAATAGGACTTTAGTTGAACTGTAAACGCCATTCCTTTCCTGTCCTTTAAAACGTGAAACTCCATTTTAAAACGACATAACCGGTTTTGAATTTGTATGCCACCAGATAATATTCAAACACATTTAAGCACTTTTAACTGTGGATTGGTATGGATATTTTCTTTCGTCAGTAGCGTTCCATACAGCCAGTGCCTAATGACTTGACAATTATTTTCAGAGTTACGCCATATTAGAAGGCGCTATGCCGGAACTAGACAAATAATAGTCGTTATCGCTTAGTCTCTATGCGCGCCGGTACACACATGCCTGGTAACAGTTTGTATAGTCGATATCCCCAGGTCTCTCTACCAGCTGGTAATCTCGTCAGATATATCTTATATCAGTTTCTATAGCTTTGCACGTGTTTACGACTCGCACCATTGACAGATGCATTTCTTGAATCGTTTGAAACATGTTATGTGAAAGCTACAGTAGACGGCTTCATTAAACAAAAACCTCATTGAGTATCAGTAGGCCTCGCTACTTAGGCTTACAAGGGAAGGTTTTAACAATTTTATTCCAAATAGATTATGCAGAAACTTAAAACACACACACACACACACACACCCATACAATACAGGGAAAATAATCAGTCTACAGAACAAGCAATTTTATTCGATTAAAAGATAAATCATACACGATTATGTCTTACATGGATAATAAACCCCAGAAGGAGACAAACCAATTTTAATAATAGTTCTAAATCTTTAATAGTTTTATATATCCTCAATAGGCGGAGGGGGGGGGGGGGCTGGTTAGCGCGTGTGCATTGTATCATTAGGTCTGTGATTGAGTCAACTGGCGTGGTTTCGATTCCCCGGTTGTACATGACAAGGGGTAGCGTCGCCTGTCCAACGTCGTGGATTTTCTCCGGGTCCCCGGTTACCCGCCACTGCTAAAGACACCTACGCGCAAGCAAATTATAGAAATAAAATTGAACAATATGTTAGTCCCAAAATAACCTAGTTTGTGTCGAGTAGACGTTATACCCTATTTCTCTCTCTCTCTATATATATATATCCTCAAATATACAATACCGTACCGAATATACAATATTGAACTGTAATAATAAAAACTATAATAGCACCAAGAGACAGCCATTTTGTCGTTGCCACATGTAAATCTAACACTGCTTTTTCAGTGAAAAAAAAAACACCGAACAAAATCCGCGATAAAAACGTACTAAACAAAGATTATCGCCCCTTGAAAAGATACCATCAATGACGTCATGTCTTACAGATGGTGATGTGTATTCTTGTAGACATTATCTTTGTGGGGTGTTTTTTCGGGGGGAAAAAACATATGGAAACAAATTTTAGAAATAATTTTTTTTTATTGAAGCAGGAAAAAATACCAAATCCCCTCAAAGATTATCTGCCCCTAACATAGATAACGTCAATGACGTCATTATTTCCAGATAGTGATAACGTTCCGTACATCTCGTGTATAAATTCATTGTATGTATATATACTGGTTGTTAATGGTTGCCATCTGGTGAAGCGAGATGTCAGACTATTAGTTAATCGTTTAGTTTATAAAAACC